TGAAAAATATTTCGTCCACGTTTTTGCCTGCAATTCTTAATCGATTTTGAAAATTCAAAAACCGTTTGAAAGATATTGGTTGGGAATCGTGCTGATTAGTTTTTGGTAAATATCGGCCGGGCCGTTTTCTTGTAATAAAGTTTAAAAAGAAAAAAATCGTCGATTTTTATTATTTTTTTGACGGTAGATACCATAGTCTTCTAGATCATACTGAAATATTACGGCCCTACGACAACTCGTTAAGCTTTAAAAATTCATCAAAGTTTGCAAAAATTAGTATCGTCTTTTTGGCATTTGTCAAAATTAGAACTTTCATCGACGTTTGCTCAAAAACGCCTGAACCGATTTCAGAAATTTAAAAGCCATTTGATGTATCTCAATGAGGGCTATCGTTTGTCAGTTATGTGAGACGATCTGCCAAACCGTTTCTTTGTAATTTGAAAAAAAGTGTTAAACTTTTCGTCCACATTTAAGCTCAAACTACCGATTCGATTTTAACAAATCAAAAACTGTTTGAAAGATATTAGTTAGGAATGATACTGATTAGTTTTAGGTGAAAATCTACCGAACCGTTTTCTTGTAATGAACTGTTGAAAAAAAAAATTTAAGCCGATTTTTATGGAACTTTTTTTGGCGATATATATCAAGGTCTTATAGAACTTACTGCAATATTACGGCCTTACGACAAGTAGTATAATTTTAAAAATTTATCAAAGTTTGAAAAAATGAGTAGCTTTTTGACATTTGTTAATATTACAATTAGAGGATTTACTTGGTATAACGATAGTAGTACTTGATCTTAATGAACATACCTACCAATAAAGTCCTGCGGAAACTGATTCAATTATATAAATTGTTGATTTTTGAAAATTTTTTTTTAGGAAATACTCCGAGTTAACGTGTTCGTTCATTTTCAATTATGTGTAATAGATCCACTCGGCATACTTTTAATCGCTCATAAATTAATTTATTTTTTATTGATTAAGTCGATTATTTACACATATCGGGAAGTTCATGTAACTTGTCTCAAGGCTAAATACCAATACCAACTAGTTTATGTATCATTTTTATATAATTATAAATATTTACTAATGTTGTAAATATGCATCATAATTTTTTTTCTAAATAAAGGCATGAAAATATTTGTTCTTTCTACATTCTCAAAATCTTATTGTTAGTATAATATGTGGTAGTTGTTCACATTTTTTCAAAAATTCCGGACTTGTTGCAAAAATAAGTTAATAAAAAAGGTATTTTATATTATTATCTACTAATACAGTTATCTCCTATCTACTATATTATCTAGTTCTACATACACAATTAAAATTAGAAAAGCTACAATATAAAGTGTTTTGCTCGGAATTTCCAAAATAAGTTCCGAATTAAATCATGTAAAACTAATTTAACCTTCCGATAGAAAAGTTTGTTTTCACCAGAAAATCCGATTTGGTAAATTTGCTTTTTCGATATTTCAGTCCATTCTGAATTTGACACCAAATTCAGATTTGTAAATGGTATGTGTCTTTGTATGTGCGCCAAAATTTAAATTTTCGGCTACGTTTTCTCAAAAATAGGTTGTAGCCATTTAAAAATTTTAAAAGCCACTAGATGAAACTGGATAAAAATTTGCGTTGATTAATTCTTCATGACGACTGGCTAAGCCATTTCTTTAAAGTTGGCAGATAAGTTCAAAATTTTTCGTCCAAAAACCCTGAACCAATTTAAGAAATTCAGGAACTGTCCAGAGTATGTTATTTAGGAATTGTACTGATTGAATTTTAGTCGTTTCTTTGTATTTAGCTGTAGATTTATTATGATATTTATGCAAATGTATATATTTTTTAGTTAATTAAATAAACAAATAATCTAAAATATTACATTTTAAATGTGTAGAAAAGGTACAAACTTAATTCTGAATTTTTGATCGATCACGTTGATGTCCCACGTTTTCTGCATACATAAAAAATTTAGTTAACCCCGATTTTTATTTTTATGAGACTTTAAATTTATCATTATTTTATACGACGATCTATATGTATCATACGTGAAAATTATCTCCACGCGCAGTACCATAAAACCTGAATGCATTGCCCATGTATTTAAATGCATTTAAATGCATAGTAAATCTAGCCTTCCAAAGCAATAAAAGCACTTGAATCGCGCGAATTTGCACACAAGGAAAACTTGTCCTAAAACATACTTTGCTAAAATATCATTTCATAGTAATATTTTCTTCTAAAGAAGATTAGCACAGTAATAGCTATATAGTAAATTATCTGAAATTTATAATACGTAAGACAAAATTTTCATAGAATTACCAAAAATAATACTTTTCAAATGTTTTGCTTGAGGCAAGTTAGATATTCAATAAAATTTGGTATGGAATACTTACATAATTCTTTTTTTTTCTCATTAATTCCATAAAATCTTAGATTCATATTTAACTAATTGATTGTCCAAAGTAAAATTTTATGTAAATTTCCTGCCCTTCTACTAATAAAATAATGTGTCCCAAGAAAGCAAAATTGGGTTACTCAAAGTTAAAATATCTCATTAGCCTAAAGTTTCAGTTATTTCTTAACAAAAAAACTAATATATCAGACCATACCCAAAACGATTTGGACATGTGGCATTCAACTGTTGTTGCAATAAATCATTTATAAATATATATCTATATTAGGATGGTCCTTAATATAAATGTTTTCGAATTTCCATGCTTCCAGGGACTCATATACTTCCAAATTTGTTAAAAAAAAATCTCTGAAAGTTTCAGTTCTTAGTATTAACTTTAAGATAGTCCGCACTCTCACCAAAGTTTCTTGGTTTTACTTCCTAAGTAAACACTTATTTTATAGCATATATCAAATTTATGTTGTATTTTTTTTTTCATTTATAATCAACATAAGCAAATTCAATATTATTCCTGAAATTTTAATTCACTTGTCGCTAAGTTATAAAATTCTAAAAATCAAATGGAATTTTATCCATGTTATTTCAAGGTACAAAATATAGATTTCAAGGTTCAAGTGATGCTAACTATCTTAGAGTTAATATTAAGAGCTAGAATTTTCAGATAATCTTTTTTTGTCAATTTGGAAGCATTTCAGCCCCTGAGAGCAAAGACTTTCAAAAATATCCATATTAAATACAACCTCATCTATATATATTAGAAATATGATATTTAAGACTATTTTGTCCATTTGTTTGTACAATAAATTCATTTTCGCATGTGCATGAAATTTATAGAAGCTTTAAACATACGACTCATCAAAATCATTTATATAAAATAACGTTATATTGAACATCGCTATAGCATAATTAATTTACCCCGAAAGAGTCATTTAGTTCAATCGACATAAATATCGTTTTGAGTAATAAGTCCTAACGAGCGAGGTCATTTTAAAGAGAATCTACTGTATTATTATCTATATAACGATTTTTAATTATGTGTTGATCATTAAGTGAATTTTCAGTTCTAACTGTATCAGTAAACAATACAATAGAGTCCTCCATAATTAGATCGCTAATAAGGTCAGAGTGTGTCATACAGTACAATTAATTATATTGTATCATGAATAATGTATGGCTGCGATGAAACTGTAATAAAGTTGCATATGCGTAACACGATATAGAGACCGGCTGCACAGAAATTGATTTATTGCTCAATACTTACTACTCTATACTTACTACCAGAATTTTTATCAACTACCAGGCTTTTTATTGAAATCTGAAAATATACAAAAATTTGTAATTTTACAAATTTTTGTTCACGTAGGGTAAGTTAGTGTCATCATCCAAAAATTGTGATTGAAAATGATTGCATATTTTCACGTTTTGAAGGTTTCTGAACATTTTGGCATACCTTAGTAAAAATAAAAGTGTGTCTGTGTGTGTGTGTGAATGTATGTATGTATGGATACAATTTTCGTACGCGTTTTCGGGCGCGAAGATCAACCGATTTGAATGGTTCAAAAAACATTCGATTCTTATTGATAGGGAGATGTGCTGATTAGTTTTTGGCAAAAGTCGGTCCACCCGTATTGGAGTTACAGAGCAAAAAGTGCAGAAAATAAAAATAGTCTTTGAGGGAATGGAGCATCGGATTTGCTGATTCAAAAAACTTTTCTGCTTGTATTGACGAAACAATTGCTTTTGGGACAAAATATGTATATAAAAAATAATTCGGATTTTAATTTTAATTCTGACTAAAACTCTAAAGCTCACTTATACTCTAAATAAATAATTTTAACTTTGCAATTCAGTTTATATCATTCTTATAATCATTAGACATTACTACAGTCTTAATAATAATCTGTTTGAAAAAATTTACTATTCCTCCAATACTTTTCTCCGATACGGGAAGTTCCAGCAACTTGCCTTAAGGCACGATGCCACACACCACATTTTTAAGTTTTACTTCAAGATCATTTTGCAATATGTTCAAAGAAAATATAAAGTGCATAAGGCATTTGAGAGTGCGTGTGTAAAACGTTGAACCCACTTATATTTTTGAGAAAACTATTTACATAATTTGTTTTTTTTTTGAAAAATATTAATTTCTTTTCATTTAAATTGCCATATCACCACCGATACTTATCACGATCAGTTTGATATCAAGCAGTATTGATATCAGGAATTCCATTAAATTTGTAGATGCCAAATATCTAGTAAGAATAGCATTTTGGAGCCTAGGAAATAGCATTATTAATGTAAGGAATCACGTCCCAGCATACACATAGTTTACAGAACATATATAGTTCTGATTCCAGTTTAAGAAATAACTAGTGTCATGAGGATAGAAAAACTTAAATTGGGATTTGATACCCAAAAATTTTTTTTATATGAACGTTAAGATATCATATAGATTTGGGTGTGGTTCTGAGCTGACAGAATTTCATATTGTATTTCTTTTTGATTTTGTTTATTACTTTGACTGAAAATATCTTTAACTAAATTTGTCAATTGTTTGTAGCAATATTAAAATATATTTTTGGTTTCAGGGTTCAACGTTATATAAGCAAGATATCAGAATGAATCGAGAACTAACAGGAACATATAGGTATGTTATTATCCTTTTACTGATTATTTAAACATTTGATATTTTATTATTAGCAATATGTAAAGGGGGTAACTAGTAACAGGCATATTTCAATAAAATCCCTTTTTTATTTTGATTGGACATGTAAACCATCCTGCATAATATTGTCATAGGTACGGTCTCGCAAACCGACGAAGTAAACAGAATTGTGCAGGTGTCTCATTTTTGATAGGTAAACTATCTACTATCTATCGTTTGAGTTATTGTTATCGAATAATTTTAAATAATTGTTTTATTTTTTTTCATGATTTCTGTTTAATTTGGGAATTTGAGTAGAAATTTGGAACACACATGTAATTCTTCCGAAATCTTTTATACAATCCATATTATTTGATGTGACTTCTGAATATGTACTAGAAAAAAATGTACTTATAACTTCCAAACTTCTTAATTCTTCTGAATTTGTCATATATCTAGAAAAAAAAATTTAATTCGGGCAATGTTTTCAAAACATTTTAATCAATTACTTACCAATTTCAACACAATTTCCCAGCAGTGCAAACCTATAAATTCTAAGGCCGCAAATCTTGAACCGAACTAAATCACCGGGTGCCGCTAACATAAATTATCGGAGTGGTTGCAACCGAACTAAAAAAAAAAACAGCTTCACTTGGGTGCTTTTTCTCGATAAATGTTAAATGAGATACAATTAATCAAAAAGCTTAATAAGACCGCCAGTTGCTTGCTATTAATCATATCATATTAATATATTAAAATCTCTTATGTGAAGCACGAAGTGCCTCTGATTTTTATCATGATAAATTGCGACCGGATCTTTAAGGCTGAAGTGTAAAAATAAAATGGTCAGATAACTCGTGAAGGATAGTTCATGATTGTATTATTAACATGAAAAAATTACCTTTATCGATTTCTTATTTTTAATATAAACCTAAATGAAGGGGCCTATATGGAACCTTTTAATACTTAAAATTATTTTTGATCATTCTGATTATTATTATCTTGAGATTTTGATCTATTTTGAGAATAATCATACTGTCATTTATTCATAATTTTTAAGTGCATACGTTGCCTTATCATTATTATTATTATTTTGAATACTTTTTTTAGTGAAGTTAAAATTTGACTATATATATTGTTTTAAAAGTCGAGCGTTACACCAAGAAAAATAGTATGAAAATTTTTAGAAATTTATTTAAAAAACGGTTCGGCTAGCATCTTAGCCTTCATTAAGAGGCAATCAATATACAATTTTGTATCTTAATATAACAATTAAAAAACATTATTGAAAACATTATTACTCTATGGTATGAGTATGTTTTTATCAGAAATTGCAAATCACACAAATAAACATCCATAAGTTTTAATAAGTTGTCGAAACTATGAAACTTTGTATTGACTATTCGGAGTCTAGGTTAGAAATATGTGTTCTACTTATTTTTCATAATAAGTTCTCTCAAATTTAGTTATTTAGATTGAAATTAAATTTTTAAACATTTTTAATTTTAATATCTCCTAGACTTGAGTTTCCTAAAATATGTTACGCTCTTTTCTTCGTATAAAATTGTACTAAAAACTGTCCAAAATGCCATGTGGTATGTTAAATTTTGTTATGGTTTAATTCGAACCTTAGAATTGATTTCATAAAGCTTTCGAATTTTGTTTCGATATTTTAGTTATTTTTTAGCTAATTATAGATACACACGTTTTATTATACCAACATATTTAGATCTCAACTTATCAGCCTGCAATTTTACATAACCACTACTATTACATGAATTATTTCACATATAATTATAAATTAATTATATAATATTAAAAATTATTAAAACCAAGAATTTTTTTATATTTTTAAATTAAACAAATTTTAATATGTAAAAATTAGTCAAAAACCGATGTATGTTTCGACAACTTCATGTATTTCACTCCTCATCCAATCTAGCTTTAACAATTTGTTTTCCGAAAATTTGTTACAATAAATAAATACTTTTTTCGATAATTGTTCAAGTATTTGAATAGTGGTTAACAATAAATAATTAAAGAAGTATAATCAGAAGCATCATTTGGATTAACAAATGTACGTATAGGTACTCAAAGTTTTCAAAATTATAATTCTTTGATGTGTTATTTTTCTTCGTTACCAATTATTGTCTGTTGATTTCATTATATTAAATAATTACATGAAAAAATAAGTGTGCATGATTGATGTGGTTCATTGATTTAATTGTCAACACAGAAATCAATGACCTTCAAATTATGCCATTCACACCATCGGAAATGACAATCAGAAAACTTTAAATGCATTTATAATTTCATATATAAACACAATATAGTGCTCAATAAAAAAAATTACAGTCACACCTACCTTAATTCTGCTTTGCCTCACACAATCAACACTTGCTAAAAGAGAAAGAAATGAGAAAAACAGTGCTTTAGATGCATTTTTGTTAAAAAAGACCAAAAAATGGAAACACAAAATAGACTGAAGGATTAAATTAGAATTTTATTAGTTTCAAAATGGGCATCACTACTGCACGACGACAAAGCGGGAGCTTGAACTCGCAATCCTGTTATGTACCCATGACAAAAAAAAAACATACATAACAGCATAAACATAAAACTGATATTTTCTCTACTATTATAAAATTTCATCAAAGTTGCACTTGCATAAAAAAGTTTAGCAACAGTTACTAACTTCTCATTATACTCACGCTTTTACGACAAAAAATACTCATAAAATATTTTAATTTGATTTACTCAACTTGAAAACTTTTTAAAGTAATTTGAATGCTTTCAGGTTTTTATGTGAAATTTTTTACACAAATCATAACGCTTCTGAACAACCACAAGTGAAATTCGTAATTACAAAGTAATTCAGTTAGGAAGTTAAAATTAAGATATATTGCTTCCGAAGAACAGTCACGGGATGAGAATTGCTTCAGATTCAAAGCAATAATAGAATAAATAGAATAAATTTGAATAACAAAATAATTTGTATATATATCTATATATATATATATATATATATATATATATATATATATATATATATATAATTATTAGGATATAGCAATTTCTAACAATCATTCGGCGATTGCGATTACTATTCACGAGCATTTATTACTTGGAAATATAGTACATTGTAAATAATTAAAAAAAAAATAAGATTTTTAAGCAAATTAAATAAGTATATTTAAAATAAATTTTTCAAATGTACTCAAATCTCCAAAAATTCCGACTTCATTATCCTTCAGACGGAAAATTTTGTTTTCTCGACGTCAAATCATTCTGAATCGTTAGACGAAATTTTAAGAAGTATGTGTGATTATGTATATGTGAGCCAATATTTAACCTTCAGTCTACGTTTTCTCAAAAACGACTAAACAGATTTCAAAAATTTAGTTAGTTGTTTGTCAGTTTAGCAACATGATCCTTCAAGCCGTTTCTTCAATCCTATCCACCCGCCAATTGCGAGATTTATATGAATTTTGTCGTCGTTGCGGCGGCATCCGAGTCGAAAGGGTTAAAATTAGCAGAAAAGTATAAAAAATGTTGACCATGTTTTAGCCAAAAATCGTGAACCGATTTTAAGAACTTAAAAACCGTGTAAAGGTGATCAGTTGGGAATTGCGTTAGTTAGTTCTTCGAAAAGATCGGCAGAGCCGTTTCTTGGTGATCAACTATTTTTGACAGATTTTTAATATATCTGTAGAATGATAGAATTCATTGTTTTAACGAACATCTTTAAATCTTAAAAGTCAACGATGTGGTTTGTTTATAAAAAATCATCCATGTATGTAATAATAGTTAAACTTGCAAAATTCTTTTGTTACAATCTCAAGTGTTGTTAAAACTAAATTCCTCTACATTAAGGGACCGATTCTGTCGCATAACAGAAAAATGTTACGGCAAGGCCATATTATGCTCCGACTTCCACACATTATACTAATGAATCATACTAAATACTGTCAAAATGTCATGTATTTACTGTTCATTCAGGCAGTTTTACACATAAACTGCAACGTCACTCGTATGTTATGGAGCTATATCAGAAACACACTGTTATCTAACATCGTTTTTTTTTTTAAATTTGTGCGGCTTTTAGGTTATGTTTTCCATAAGACAACCTGAGAAATTCGCCTGACTGCACACCAACCGCATGGCTTTTGTCAATATTAGTATGGAAAGTCCTTCATAACATGACCTTGTCATAAATTTTTCTGTTACGCGATAGAATCGGCTCCTAAGTGGATTATCATACAAACCGAATATTTTTTTAAGTTGTCTTAAGGCAAAATGCCATTGGTACCTAGTTGTCATATTTTACAACGTTAACACGTTGAGCCCAGCGCCAAAACTGCTTTCCTTTCCGTTCAGTAGGCAGTGACAAACGGTCGGTATGGTTTCCCATAAAACACATTTTTGTTTAGGATGTTTGTATAAATTTCATTACAATTGTATTTAATAGCATTTTATTAAGATCAATTTTATTTTTTTCTGTCGATCACGCAAACCATCCAAAGAAAAATTCTAGTACCTGTACTCTGGGCAGACGCCAGTTGATTGATACACAGTTAATTCGATTTAGCAAACATTCCTAAGTATGAATATAGCTAATTAAAAGCTCAATGTGTGGTAAATGATAGAAAAACAAAATATTTAGTATGAACATTTTAGTTCTGTTTTTTTTTTTTCAATGTAATCAATTATGGCCTCATAAAGTCGGTTACTCAAACGCACTTAACCTTCTTCTTAATTATTTCTATTCATGGCATAATTGTGAACATATTATATAAACAATGCTTTTCTTACAAAAGTGCTTTGAAAATATTATCATAAGCCATCAAAGGAGCACTGATTGTGAATTGTATACAGAAAATTTACGCGTTTTATTATTCATCAACAATGGCATTGAAACGATGCTGGGAAATAGCATATGCGATTATGAAACATATATAGGCATTGATGTGTTCTACTTAAAAATAAATCATAGAAGGTGCAAA